CCATCTGTTTGAATGCACTTAATACCAACTTGAAATTGAGTAGACACAAAACTGTAGAACTTGAGAAAAACATCAAATACTTCTGATTTATTTACCAATGGAAATATCCAAACATATCTAGAAAATTCATCTACAAAGCTGACATAATATCTGAATCCTTCAACTGATTTAGTAGGTGAGGGACGCCAAAGATCCAAATGAACCTTTTGAAAAAGAAATACAGATTTGTCTTTCTTATCTAGAAAAGGTAGCCTAGTCATTTTTCCAGAAATACAATTTGAACACATATAGTGTGTGTCATCAACAATACTATGTATCTGAGATTGCTTCAACATTGTAGATAGAACTTCATTACTGGGATGCCCACATCTCTGATGCCAAACTAAATGTTTCACATTCTGACCAAGTAAACCTGTTGACCTGTGCTTAGACTTCACTGCTGTGCTTGTAAGTAACTTGGTAGGAATCTTGAACAACTTTCCCTCATGGCTCATTCCTTGGTAAATCACAGCCTTGGTTACCTTGTCCTGCACAAAAAAATTATTCTCATCACATATGAACCAACAGAAGTTGTCTTTACACATTTGTTTAACAGACAACAAACTAACTGCAATAGTAGGAACATGCAACACATTTCTCAAAATTAAAGTTCGAGGTAATGTGTATAATTTTGCAGATCCAATGTGATGAATTGACAAATCTTCTCCATTTCCAATTGTAATTCGATCAGTACCATCATATGTATTAACTTGCTGAAGAGCATTCGCATCGGCAGTCATGTGATGTGACGCCCCTGTATCCACAATCCAGGAATCATTTGGTAAGAAATTAGGCTGAGCTTCAGCTTGCATTGCAGTTAACACTGGTGATGGTGCAGTACCCTGATAGGCAAAATTATTCCTGTGATAGCAGTCTAATGCACTGTGTCCCTTCTTCCCACAGATCTAACACTCAACTACCGAGCCACTTGAACTTGCATTGTTAGATCTTTTCCAGCAATTTGGAGCAGTATGACCCCGTTTAAAACAAATATGACATTCTTGAACAATGTTTGATCTGGTGTCAGTGTTACCGGACCACGAATTCCAACTTCCGGTATTCTGTCGGTTACCCGAAGATTGACCTCTGCCATTGTTTGTAGTATTTCCTCCCTGTGAATACCTGAAACCACCATTTCCATTCATGTTGTTGTTAGGCCTGAAAGATCTAGAACCATTATTTGGATTTGAGTAAGGCATTGGAGCACCGGCATTTCCCACAAAACCATAGGCATTTGAGAACTCAGAATATTGTGGAAATGGATATGGAGAGGCACCATATGGATTTCCAGGAAGCAGAGGATAAGGCACTGGCATAGTAGGAGAAACTGGCATTGGCAACAGTGGAAATGACGCAGAACCACCATTTGAGGGAGTGCCCTGTGATAGACCAGATGATTGCATTCCGAAAGATGATGTTCCTCTTGGCACTTGAGTAAGGACACCACCAGTGGTATACGAAACCCCTTGTGAATTACTAGTAGATCCCTGAGATGAGCCTTGTGATGACCCTTGCATATACAATCCTGAAAAACTCTATGACACATTATTTAAGACAGATTCAGCTTCTCGTTCAGCACATAACAACTGTTCACGAAATTCTCTCAATGTGAGAGGAGTATCTTTAGTAAGAATTACTGTCCTTATCGTAGAATACTCTCGAGGTAACCCAGATAAAACAGCCAAGATAAAATCATTATCCGAGATAGTCTCACCAGCATTAAGCAATTGTTCTTTGATATCCTTAAGTTTGGACAAGAACTGATCTATTGAATCTCCCCCTTTCTGCAAGATTTGGAATTCAGTTTTTAGAGTATGGCATACCTATCTTGTAAACTGGATCAAGCTTCATGTGCCGTTCTACATCCAAGAACATGCTCAATGGCCTTATCAGACAAAGTAGCAAGAAGCAGACTCAACAAAGCCATATCAACAGATTCCCACTCCAAGAAAGCTTCAGAAACTTGTGTGGTAACCCCATTTTCTGGATGAATGATATACCTTGAAGGACACACAACAGATCCATCAAAATGATCAAACAACTTGTACCCTTTCACAACTGACTTCAATTGAAAAACCCACTTAGAGAAATTCCTATCATTCAGTTTAATCGTCAACATCCCCAAAAGACCTTCAATTTTCACACCAGGAACCGTCATTTTCCTCAAATCCAAGAATTGTAGAAACACAGAGAATTTGCAAGAATGGCTTCGTGCCGCAGAAATCAACAAATCAGCAGGAAAAATGGCTTCGTGCCTTAACAAATTCACAAATTCGCAAGAAAAATGGCTTCGTGCCTCAACGAACAAATCAACAGAGAAATGGCTTCGTGCCTCAACAAATTCACAAATCAACAGAAAATGGCTTCGTGCCTCAACAAATTCAGAAGATAAATGGCTTTGTGCCTCAACGAATCAACAAGAAATGGCTTCGTGCCTCGACAAACATAGCAAAAGAAAGAAACACCTCCAAACAGAAACTTATCCTGAGATCCGCAGATACCAGAAGCTTAATTGACTGCTACAACTTCAGCCGAAGAGACCCAGAATTGCAGAACCCATGAACATTCGCCTACCCACAACGGATCGATGGCTCTGATACCATGATAACAAAAGTATTTCACAGAAACCATAGCTACGAAAGGAAGGTTCAAAGGAAATGCAAAACAGGAATTACAGAGAGAATAGAGAAGTTTGAGAAATAAGAAGAAAAGTGCTGATTGTATTGAATGAATCTGTAAAGCATGATTACAAAGCTTTATAGAGTAACATTTCTTAAGGACTAAAATACCCTTCCTTATCTAGACAATAGATCCTAACCATCAGATTCTAACCACCTACAACCAACTACAACTACCTCAACCACATTGGTTGACATGGCAGCAACCATTTCCAACCATATAAGCTGACATGGCAGCAGCCACTGATCTACTGCCATGTGTCTGATCTACTGCCATGTGTCTTCATCCATCAGATATTACCCTGAAACGAGGAGCAGGGCCGCCTCTCCTGGTCAAGGCCATCCAGATCATCCAATCATCCGACAACACGCCGACGGAGGAGTAGGAAAATAAACTTGTCCTCGCCCCCATTGTTCGCGTTGTGAGTGCTCGATCTCTTCTTTGTTTTCTATTATTGTGAGTGCTCTCTTCTTTGTTTTCTATCTTTCGCTTGAAATTCAGTGAAAAATTAACCTTCATTCATGTTATTTACTAGCTGCTGAATCTGAGGTGTCGCCTGCAGAGAACTGAGACGGTTATTTTTCACTCTTCTGAAGGCCTACGGACGAACAGACGAGGAGCAAAGCTTTGCACTGAGGTAACGATAACAAATGTTTCGTATGATCATGGCTGCCCGCCATTATTTGCTCTCATTGAAAAATGAAATATTTAACGACAGTAGAAATGGATTGAACTGCTTGCAATCGGCATTACCTCCGACAAGGGAAAGGTTTGATGAACAAATATATCATATTCATCCTAGTTTATTAGTTCGATTGAAATGTGCTTCGTATGTCTACTTTTGATCGATGTTAAGCATTTTACTATGTCTTCTGGTAATTAACTCGTGCTTCGTTGAGCTATTTAACATGCAAGTATACTGGTCACCATGTAACAACGGATTCATAATCATTAACCATTAGATTTTATATCATGGATTAATATTAAAACATGAAAAGAACGTCAATTTAACTCCACCCTTGAGATCAAATCCAATGTTTACCAAGAGAGTTTTTTTTTTTTACTAAAAAAAAAAAAAAAAAAAAAAAAATCCAAAAATAGGTTTTAGGGTTTTCAGACTTAACAAAGGAGATATGCATTCGAGAGAAGACGCAGAACAAAAAAAAATTCTACAAAAGAACCGTCCGTACTCCATTCCCTTGAGGATTAAATTAATCAGTTCTAACATTGGCTATTTTGCACTTACTATGTTTGGATGAGGGAAATAAAATTAGAATTTTGATAAAAGTTAGAATTTATGAAGACATGCACCAATTTTTTTGTTTGGATTTATAAACATAGAAATTTAGAATTTTCAGGTGGAAAAAAATGTGGAATTTGGGACCTCCAATTAGTTTAATTCGATGTAAATAGGTGTTATTTCTGAATTTCCATATATAAGTGAGAGTTTAAAAATATCAAATTCCGTTTCAAATTTCATTGTTCTTTTAGGTTAACCAAACAAGAAAATTTACAAAATCCTAAAAAAAAAAAATTCCGTCATTTTAAAATTCCTTAGTAATCTTAAATTTCTTCATCCAAATATAGTGATTTTTATTAGTTTCATGCCTCCACATGTTTTGAGAATTAGATAATTTCCTTGTGGATGCTTCACTAATCTTGGCTGCTCAATTCACTGTATTTCACAGACCATTTGCATCAAAACATGTTTCTATATTTGTTTGTTTGTTGGGTACGTAGGTATGTTGTCGTGTTCTTTGTAACTGGACTTTCATCCTTATCAACAAGAAAGAGGGTGATAAATTTACCTTGTTAATGATAATTACCAAAGTTAAACATAATTAAATTCTTTCAATGAATGAATGAGCCACGAAAAAATTTGTGTCCAAATACATGAATGTTCATGCATGCATGGAAATTTATAGAAAAGCCTTCCATATAAAAACAAGAGTGGATAATATCAAATACTCATCCAACAAACTCACGTTTTACAATTTTTTCTACAATTTGCTACTTTGCTAATATGATTCCTTCCACCAAATTCCACATTGTAAATTTGTTGGCGGTCATAAATTTCACATCCAATGTATACAGATATCAAAATGGCCTCTACTGATTTTTATATATCCTGCAACCTAAGAGTATTAACTTTCTGTTGTGGACTAAATCTGAAAAAATTTAGGAGGAGGGTCCTTGTAAGTAGTATAAATACCACTCAGTGGAGTTGGGGTTAAGCAAGCAAGTAAACTGTAAGGCTCCTCCTTAAGCAAACCCTAGGGAATCTCCTTGTGCCCTAGCTAACAACCATGTCCCGAAAGAAGGTGAAGCTTGCCTACATCCAAAACCACACGACTCGAAAACTAACATTCAAAAAAAGAAAGAAGGGTTTTATGAAGAAGATGAGCGAAATCACTACCCTTTGTGATGTTGAGGCATGTGCTATCGTTTATGGACAGAACGATACTCAGCCTGAGGTTTGGCCATCCCCTTCTGGAGTACAAGGCACTTACGCGAAGTTCAGGACAATGCCCTCAATGGAGCAAACCAAAAAGCAGCTGAACATGGAGACTTTTCTGAGGCAGCGGATTGACAAGGCAAAGGACCAGCTGAGGAAACAGAAGAAGGAGAACCGGGAGAAAGAAATGTCAATCCTGATGAGCCAGTGTCTAACAGGGAGGTCCCTACACGATCTGAGCATGGGGGATTTGACTGACTTAGGGTGGGTGGTTGACCACAAAGTGGAGGATATCAATAGAAAGGTGAAGAAAGTGCATGACGAGTTGGCTTGGAACGGGAGCAATCAAGTCCAAGTAGTACCAACACAGCCGCCACCACCAGCGATCAGTGTTGGAACGATGAACATGCAACAAACTCAGTCTCAAGCTGCACCGATGGAGATGATGACCCTGCAAGACCAGCAGCCGCAACAGCAGATGGGAGCAATTGGAGCAAACACCGGGGACGACTTTCTGCCCTTTGGGGACCAGAACCACCAATCTCTGTGGTCTAATATTCCATAGGAGTAATTAGGTTTTCATCCTTATTTTTACTACTCTATTGATTAAAACCTTATTACTTTTCAATTTTTGATCAAGGTCCTTTGTATTAATAATATCATTAATTATTTCAATAATAAAATATTTTTTATTTCTAAATATATTCATTTAATATTAAAAATGTTACAATTAGTATATTTATATTTATGGCTAAATTTTTTATCATATATTTTTATTTTTAGTTTGTACCCATTTTTAATTTGCAACCCTTTTTAATTTGTACCAATTTTCCTTTCAATTTTAATTTGTACCCATATATTAATTTCTTTTTGTGCCCATATTTTTTACAGTTTTATTTGTATTGTACCCATATTTTTTTATTTATTTGTACCCATTTTTATTTTTGCTAAATGTACCCATTTTGAAGAATGTACCCATGTTTTGATACAATCATTTTTTGGTTATTTTTTATGAATGTACCCATGTTTACACACACACACAATAGTATATTTATATTTTAATATTTTTAATCCCACAAATTATGTTTTTTATTTAAAATCTCATTACTATAAACAACTATAAATTTTAATTTTTAATTTAAAAAATATAGTAACGTACATAGAAATAAATTATCAATTAATTTTAGGGACTTGGATCAAAAATTGAAAACCAACAAAGTTTCAGTCAAAGATTATTCATAACTAGGGACCGCATCCAAAGTCTCCCTATTCCATATTACCCTTGAAACGTCGGCGACGTACTGTTTTGTTTTCGTATGATATGAACCACATGTTGTTTCCTCAGTGTTTTAATTTAATAATTATGAGATTTCATTTATCCAGTTTTTTTATTTTTTATTTTATTTTTTATCAACCACAAGGAGAGTTTTTTGTTTGATTTTTTAAGTAAGTAAACGAGAAAGAGGATGTTTTATTTTCAGTAATTTTTACATTATGGATGTAACTTTAATTTAGTCGCTATTAATAAAATCCATTGTTTTTTTTTCATTTTTATTTTTATTTTATATTTTATTTTCAGTTTAACATATGATAAGATTTGTACTATCTACCAAAGTAGAGATAAAAAATACTTGCAAGAGTACAAAGTAATTGTAGTATAATCGGCTCTAGCAAAGTTTAATTAATTATTTAAATCAAAGTTTAAGAAAAAGGCGATTTTATGATTTAAAATAATAAAAACAAATTTAATATAAATAATTAAATAAATCGACAAAATAAAATAAACTAAAAGAAAACGGTTTTTGAAAGTTAAATTGTAAATGCACTAGGCTTCTGCCGTCATCTTAACAATCCTACACAATTCTTCAAATTACTTATGACTTAACACACATATTTTGAAAGTTAGGTTTTCCTAATATGTGTCTACTTGGACCTCAACATGGAGCTTATATCAAACATGCAATCTCCGTTTGTGGTATTCAGATCAAATCTAAACATACATGACTCATTAAGTTTTGTGAAACTTTTTGAAAAACCATACAACCCGTAAGACGTGATATTTATTCTAAGTGAACTTGCACATATTAACCACAAGAAGCTTTTGTAAATTTCAGGGACTGACCTCCGACCAAAATTGCATCAAATTACTTTTCTAAATATCTTAATGGTGATCAAGCATTAAGACAATTAGATAGCTAGTTAAACATGGTGATTAATAATTCAAAACCTACATGCATAATATCATAAGCAAATTGAAAAGAAACTACATATTCTTGCTAAGGCTCGTGGCCTACGCCCTAGCAAACAGAAATTAGTTAGGAACAATCATAAAACAAAATATTATTAAAAACAAGGATAGAAAACACCTTGTAAATAGCCAAAAGCTCTCTAAGCTGAATTCTCTAAAATAATGCGTTCTTCTCCCCTTTTTAAAACCCTAATGGCTAAAAAGCCTTATTTATACCACTACAAAATAACATCTGTACTAGAAAAGATCTTCTAAAAACTAGGAAACATAATAGAATAAGATAACTAGGAAATACATTCATATTCTAACTTTGGGAAATCTGCTAAGCCAAAAAGCAGTCACATTTTTGGATCTTTAGGGCTCCAAAACAGGCCCAAAATTAAAGCTTGAGATGTCCTGAACATAATTGCAGAAGGCATCGAACCCAAAAGACATCATCTTGGATGCCAAAAAGCCCAAATAAGCATGAAACATCACTTTGACAACACTGCACGCTAAACCTTTATTTCATCGCCATAAACAAACCGCTTGGTAGAAAAATCTGAAACTTTGATACGATCAAGCTGAAAGGGAAGGAGAATATAAAAAGAATGTATACTATATATAATAAAAAAGATATTGGATTGTCTCTCAATATTACGGTCTGATGATATTCCTGTTCACTTGGAAGTGAGAGGTCTTAGGTTCGAATATCATGGATGGTGAATTCGATACCAAATTAAGTTGCCCATTGTGTGGCTTAGCCGAACACTCCCTCTCTTTAGTGTAAAAAAATCGATGTACTAAAAAAAAATAAAGATATTGGATTAAGTTTTTAAAAATTCAACAAATGCTCTTACTTTAAGTAGATGTTAAGGGATCATAAATTTATTAAATGAGGTTAACATGGGAAATATGAGACACCTCGATCAAGCAAAAGTGACTATTCTTGTGTTCTATTAGATGGAAGTGAAGGTTTCTTATCTTATTTAGAGCAGAATAGGGCGACATGAGATTCGAGATGAATTAATGAGTAGCTTCATAATGAGACAAGTACATTATTATGTCGCATTAGTAAAAACCGACATGTAATTTGTTATAAAAATAAGTTCTACGCAGTTGAATGCTATGAAAGGCTTAACTGTAAAAAGCCCTAATATTTTGGACCAAATAAAACAATGAACAATATTTTGGATAAGAAGAAAATAATGAAATATAATTAAAAAAAATGAATAATTTTAGAAAACGAAGACAGTAATTAAGTTTGGTCCTGCGGATTCTCCGCAAATAGGAGCAGGGTCTCCTCTCCTGGTCAAGGCCATCCAGATCGGACAGAGATTCCAGCTGGATCTCCTCCACCAAGTTCTAAGGATTTAGAGATCCGGATCGTTGAAATTTGATCAAATGGCTACAATTATTATCACTTTTAGAGGGCTTCTATTTGTAGTCGTTAAATCAAATTTCTACGGTCCGGATCTTTGGATCCTTAGGATTTGATGGGGTGAGATCTGGCTGGGATCTCTGTCCATCCAGATCATCCAATTATCCGACGGGGCCCACGAAGATGGAGTACGGCAACAAACTTGTCCTCGCCCCATGGTTGGACAAGGATTGTCTGCCCTCCACTTCCGGTGCCCTTCCCGTGCCCTCCTGTTTTGTGTGATCACGGTTAAGCCACGTCAACATTTTATATTGTTTTTTTTATAGATATAATAAGACAAAAATGAATAGTAATATAAAATGTTGACGTGACTTAACCGTGATCACACAAATAGGAGGGCACGGGAGGGCACCTGAAGTGGAGGGCAGACAATCCTTGTCCCCCATGGTTTGCGTTTTCAGTAGACCCTCTCTTCTTTCTTTTCTATTTTTTGCTTCAATTTCAGTGAAAAGTTAACCTTCTAATTCCTGTTATTTACGTACAAATTTCTTCAAAATTGATTAGGGGACTTTGCCGTTAATTTCAATTACTAGCTGCTGAATATGGAGCTGATATAACCTACGGTGAAGAAATTATCGACCATATATAAACTTGTCAAATGCCACAGCAAATTCAATGGTATGATACCTTTTTCATTTTTCTCACATGGTTTTGTCACAAGTTATATATTTATATATTTGTTTCCTGGAGATTTATGGAAGCAAAGAATTTGACCCATTTTAGTTGTAGAGTGCTTAAGTTTGGGAATTTTAATTTGTGTACTGTTTGTGCTTGTTTGTTGCTCAGAGAAATTAGGGATCCATTGATTTTGTGGAGAGAGGTACTGGAAGTGTTGTTTTCGGACGTGCGATGAGGAAAAGAATCGAGTGGTGTTTCAGATTGGTACTTCAAATGTCGTACGGGCTCTCAAATTAAGCTTCGTGTTAGTTGTTGTTCTCTTTTCCTTTTGAAGTTCATATTTTTATGTGTTTATCTTAAAAAAAAAAAAAAGGATGAGGATCATGCAACCGGTATGGAAGTGACTGCATGCACTTGTGCTCTCCATACACTCGATCAATGTTGACTTGATTTGCTATTTTGATCAATGTTACCCGTGTTACTATGTCTTTTGTTAATTAACTCATGTTTCGTTGTGATATTTAATTTTATGAATATTTTAAACTAAAAATATTTAGATTCTGATAAATATTAAAAAATTACTAAACTTACATCGTGATACTCGTGGAACACTATGACAAAATATGATACACAAGAAATATTTTCTTTTTATTATTTTAGCCATTGGATTTAAATTTGAACCATTAAATTTTTTCTTTTTGCCATTGGATTGGATCAAATAAGATCTTAGTCGTTGGATTTGATGAATTATAAATACAAAAAAAAAAAAAAAAAAAATACACATATGGTGGCCCATCCCACTAATTCAGGAGGAATTTTTTCTTAAATTTGCCCTAGAAATGAGCTTTGGTTTAAAGCTCATATTTGGCCAAAAGGTTGGAGCAAGTTGGGATAGGTGTGGAACCTAAAATTTAAGTTTTAGTCCAAGGGTTGGAGTAGGTCTAAAGGGGTGGGGGAGTGGGCTTAGACCTGACATTTGTGTCGTGTTTTCCGTGTTTGTGTCGTTTTCGTGTCATATTTGATATCTTAATGGGTGTAACACCTGTTAAAATAAACGGGTAAAATGACTAGACCCAAAATCGACATGACAATATTAACAGGTAATATGACCCGACCCGTTACCCATTAAGGAAAATATATTTTAAACCAATAAATAATCAAGTGAAAAACATAATACTAAATAAGTATATACATATCATATTGTCAACGCAATTTTCTTTTAAGTATATATTTACATACCCAAAATAAGAGCATAATAAAAAAAACTTTAGAACATTACAAAATATCAAATGTTCAAAAGATTTGCAAAATTAAGGACATTGGAACATTAGAACATTGGAACCTTGCACATTTTCTTCCAATCAAACCCTTCAAATTTCCTCAATCACCATGGGAAACAGTATTGGAACTTTGGCTTGATATATTGTCTTCAAGAGTTATATTGATGATGTTTTCAGAGATGCTTTCCACATTAGCACTCTCTTCCACATAAACTAAACATAGAAAAATCAAACATTGTAAACCATTCAAATTATGGGTACTAAAAATAATTATGAAAAGAAATAAAAATAGTTCAATACTATATAAATGATATACTACCTCTTTTTCCAAAAAGTCAATCTCGTGTACACAACAAAGCTTGAACCGTGTCTGGCAACAATGAAGTACGATATTGATTTAGCACCTTATCCCCAATACTAAAAGCAGATTCTGACTGAAATAGGAATTGTTAACACATCTCGTGCTAACTGAAAAAGTATTGGATAGTGAAAATGCTTCATTTGCCACCAAGAAAGAACATCTATATCTTGTTTTCTATCTAGTTTTTTATCATCCAAATACTTTTGTAATTCACTTTTTTTTTCAACTGAATTTGGACCATTGTAATTATTATTAAAATCCTCCATCATAAAAAAAAAAAAAAAAAAACAGAAACATCATAAAAATTATGCATAACCCAATTTCAAATATAATATTAATAGTTTTAAAGTACTATGTATAAAAAGGAAAATTCAAACTTTATGTTACCTCAAGAGAGCATCTTCACATTCTGTTTGATGATTAGGTGCCGAGTTCATTGGAATATTTGAATAATTAAGATGAGCAGATATTTCCTAGTACACATTAAAAAGAGCAGTCAATGTGCCATAAACATTTTTATATTCCATAGAATTCATGCCATGAAGCTTTGTGTAAGCCCAATCCACAAAATGTAGCTTATAATGAGGATCCAAGATGATTGCAATTGACATAATCAAACTGTAATCTGACCAATATTTCTGAAACTTCATGTGCATAGAATCCCCCATCTTATTCATGAAACTATCACAGTCATCAATGGCTGCCTTAATTTGAAGCTGAATTACGAACACTTTAGGGAAGAATAAATTTGATGTGGGGTACTTTGTCCCAGAGAATAAGCATGTAACATCATAAAAGTACCCAAAAAACTTCAAAATCTTCACCATTTTATCCCACTCTTCAGAAGAAGGCCAACTTTCAAAATTTGAATCACTCAATCCTAAATTAATAAAAGCATATCGATAGAAAATGACACAATCTAGCATAAGATAGGTTGAGTTCCATCTAGTAGGGACATCTTGTCTCAAACCTCTCTTACTATCCAATATCCTTACTTGCCTAACACATTCATGAAACTTTAGTTTCCTAGCCTTAGAACCCTTTATATACTTGATGCATTCACGAATTTTTGCCACCAAAGAATCAATTTCTTTAAGTCCATCTTGGACTATCAAATTAAAAATATGAGCATAACAATGCACATGAAAGAAGTCACCATTCATCAAGTGAAGACCTCTAATATTTAATTGAATCTTCAAAATGTTAACAAAACAAATATGTGATGACCCGTCCCTAATTTTCCTATGTAATTTCTCCCCGAGTATGTGTATTGACGATTATGCCCTTATCGGCAAGTAACATGGACTTATTCTTATCGCTTTCCTTTTTATTTCTCGCTATCGCATTTAAATTGTACACGCTAGTACGAGTAGGCATAAATTTTAAAGTGTAAAAACATCTACTTCGGATAGATTTCGATTTCCTTTAACTGTAGGAAATCTAAAACGCTATCCTTGGATTCCTTTTAAATCATACCCGTGCACTTCCCTTCATCATTCAGTCTCACCTATTCCATCTTTTCTGTATGTTCTGTCCCCCCTCTATCAGAAAAAGCAAAGAAAATTTCAAAACCTCACTCTCTTCTTTCTCTCTCTCCTGTGAACTCTCTCTTCCTCTGCAAATCCATGAGCGAGCTCCAAAGTTTGTAGATCGAACAAACAAACTACATCATCATGCTCATCTCAGTCCCACGATCACAACCATGTCCTTGAAATTTGGTGTGGACGAGTTTTGACTCACCAACTCGGAAGGTCGACTCGGCGAGTTCGACATATCGATTTTCAAGCCATGCATGGCTTAGGTAAGGCTTGAGAAACCCTTAGAACCTTCATTTCACTTCTATGGGTTGTTATTGATCCTTTGTTTGTGTTTTGAACGTGTGGTTTTACCCAGAAACTCGAGAAGAAGAAGAACTTGCCATTTTTCACTCAAGAACCGTGGCCATTTGGTCACTTTCAAACCATTTTTCTAGTCAACCTCGACCATAAATGGACTTCTTCTAGGTAAAAAATTGTTCTCTACATTTATAACTTCAAAATGGCTTTTGAATCACTGAGTTTGGTTAAGTAACGAGTTAGAAATCAACTTTGGAAGTTAGGAAGAAAATTTCAGTTTCTGGAAAATTTGTAACCGTGGTCGTTTGGCCACTTTCAGGCCAAATTTCCGATTAACTCAGACCATATCTGAACTTTCTGTAAATTGGGATTAGTAGAGAACATTCCTAACTTTAATTTGGCTTTTGTAGAAGTGAATTTGGTTGAGAATTGAGCTCGTTAGGGACTTTGGAAGTTGGCCCAAAAATCTGTAAAACTGCAGATTTTCGCGAAGAAGGCGAGTACAGTGTACTCGCGGGGGCGCGCGTGGATAGCCCCTTTAGGCGGCACGTGGGGGCACGTCCAGCCTCCGGCCGGCGTGTGGTTGACACGTGTGTGTTTGTGTCATCGAGTAGATCGATTTCATATATTTATACCCTAGGTTTGAGCAAACTATGGGGGTTTTATTTAGGTTTCCGTTATGTAATTTAATTAATTTTATTTAGTTATTTCACATATAGGGGAAACTTATTCCGAGGATTTTCGAGGCCAAGCTAGGCTCGGGGGCTACGACTCAGCAACGTACTTGTGAGTGGGCAGTTGTTTTATACCTATATATATTTATAGTTTCCATAAATGCGTATTTACTTCACTTTTACGCCTAACTTGCCTAGTATCATTATTGTGATATAAATTGTGATAAATGCTGCTATATGGTTGTGATATTACTGTCATGGCATTCATATGTACATATGTACATGCTCATCTTGCTGCACCCGGTGTTAGTACTTGCCCCAGGGCCAGGACCAGTCCTTCACGTGTATGTTCGTATCTACACCGTTCGCTCACCTTGGATCCAAGTTTAGGTGCCAGTCTTGTCGGGTAGATTGCATTAGGTGATTCGACTTGTATGTGATGTGCTTTTGCACCGGTCTTCACGTGATCGTAGTACTAGAACATATTGATTACACCCAGTTCTGTTCGTGTCAGAAACCATATGTTCAAACTCGTGTGTTAGCTTAGATGGATGAGCACTTAGTTATATTGATTATCACATGATTATTATTGTAGCATATGATACATCATTTACTTGGCATATTTCTAGTTATATGGCTTATATATTGGATTTCATACTTACGTAGTATGTTTTAGAAAACTATACTTGTTTTACGGCGAGGGGTTAGTATATTCAAAGATAAAGGTTTTCTTATAAGCATTGTTTTGTTGACTCACTCAACTTTGTTTTTCGCCCCTCCAGGACCTAGATAGATGTACTCTCTGTGGCACTCGAGGAATCACGGCAGTTCTGACATTTCCTTATGTTTAGACGTACGAACTTATCACTATTATGTAATAAGTGTACTTTGGTTGCTTTGACTACTCTTTCGTAGTCTCACAGTTTATTACGCTCTGAATAATTGTAGTGGGTTCAACCCACGAATTGCACACTCTTTCACTGTTGAGTTCTAATTAGTTTTAATTTTATTCACTTTTTGCATCACTTACCCTTATGGTTACGTCATCTCATGGTGACGGCCAACATGCTTCGACCTTTCCAGGTCGGGGTGTGTCAAATATTTGAAGAAGCATTATTCAAAGTAATAGAAAATAACTTCTTCTCAATCCCCCACTCAGTTACTAACACACTTATTTTCTCACATAATGCAACACTAGTATGCGGAGGAGGCATGTGACAAAAACTTATCATTTTTTTATTCAATTTCCAATCCTTGTCTACAAAGTGAGCAGTAAGTGCAAGATACCCATTAGTGCACTGAGATGACCATAACTCTGATGTCAAACAAATTTTACCTTCAACTGAGCCTAACAAATTATGCGGTGCTTGTTTTTCAGTTTTGAACATCCTCAACACACAAGCTTTGATAATATTTCGACATGGTAGCTTAATATCAGGAGATACATATGCAAACAAAGCCTTAATTCCCTCATGTTCAACAAAACTAAAAAGAAGATTATGCTTGATGATTGCCTCTACTAATAAGCCACAGAATACCACTGGATCAAACTTTTGGGAACACAATTCAGATGCCGACGTTAACAATTCAACATTATTCTTTGCAGGGCATGTATTCAAATGTCTTTTCATATTACCTGTCCCATGATGATTATCATCTATCATTACTTTCTTACAATCTTTGCATTCAGCACAACTTTTACCATCTTAAAAAATAGTATCCAATTTTCTATTGTCTATACTTTCGCTTCCAAAATCTCGTTCTGGTCCCATTATAATCTCCACATACTCCTCATCACTATGGTTTACTGAATCTGAATCTTTAGCATTCATTGCTTCTCAAACAAAATGAGTATAAATTAATTAATAGCTTTTTAAACAGGTAGAATTCTAGGAACACCCGAACTCAATCCAATTTATAGAAGCATGAACAAACAGTAACACACACCAATAATGGATATTACTAAGCAATGAAGTGAGTAATTAAACATGCCTAGTATAGACATTATTTTAGTACAACTTATAATTCAAATAACAACACTGATATAAGACAATGGTAATTTAAAAGAAATTGGCTGAAGAGTTGAGTAAGGGAGATCCACCTATAACCCAACCTCCAGGAAAAGTTTAGTGTTCAACTTCATGATGCATAGATCCACCCATCACTCTCTAATATATATAAACTAATAATTATATCAAAGAATTGTCACCAACGATGTAAATCAGATAGTCTACTTTGTAGAAATTTTGGAAATGAAACATTAAAAGCACCATTGTTACCTTAATCTACCTTCAGATATAAACTGGTAAATTTTATCCACACGTTGTTGCGAGAGCGAAAATATAACTATAGATTATGTTTTTCACATGTAAATATGCAAAGAGTGTTATAAATACTAAACAGAAAATGGATATATCAAAATTAATTTGAACGTATTATAAAAGTCCCTATGACAGTATCAAAGCAACTATAATCACAAAGAAGTTGAGAGATTACCTTCTGATTATCAAAACCATTACAGGATTTATGCAATATTATTACCACAACTTTATGCATAATAGGAACAACACTATAATCATCTGCCTACCAGAAATTAACTCTTCTACAACAGCAAGTTTAACATTATAATAAATTGAAAATATCAACTTTATGGTAAAGATATAAAACATGATCTAACTGCAAATGCCTGCCACAGAACAATTAATATGAATAAATGTTGACAGAAATTGATAGTAACTTAATATCCCCAAAAAAGTAATGAGAAAATATGAAAATCAACCCAAGGTGATGCACAATCAGAGATTCAAAAAAGTCAGACAGAATGATAACAACAAATTTAAAAGATTAAAAAGAAGACAACCAACCAACTGAACAAAGAACACACAAACATAAAACATAAAATTAATAACAAATGGGGAAAATGAAGAACTTAAAAAGATGGAGAAAAGAGATGCAGAGATGTAGAGACAAAATCGAACATGAAGTGGAATCTGGAGAATGGAGATGCAGAGATGCAGAGCTGTAGAGACGACCAGAGATGACAAGGATGATTTCGTCCACTGCACGAGGGAGGAAAAAAGAGACTGCGAGAGCCTACTGGAAGAACTGAACATACGGCGGAAGAGAATGGCTAGGAAAAACAGACGGCGGGATCGGGAGAAAGAGTTACGGGAGTGGGGAGAGAGAAAGGGATTAGGGCTTTTGTTTTGATCAAATGGTAAAATTGGAAAATAATGGAATAGAGAAGGGTTTTTTTTTGTCCAAAAAAGTTCTAATAATATAAGTGAAATAGAATCCAAGGTACATATTTACTCTCATTTATCTTACGGTTGTTATTTAAGTAAAGTCTTTAATAGTTTTTTAATTAATGTAGAAGTGTAAAAAATATAGAAAAAAAATATATAAACGCTTGTAATGACAAGCTTTACAACTTTCGTGAAGAGCTTAACTTTGAAATTCGCCACTATAATCATATAAATCATATATCAAAATTTAATTGTTGATTGTTGTTTACATTTACGCTTCATTTTTCTCATCAAATTTTGTTTTGTTTTTTTCGGATTTTCTTCTTTGAAAGCATGATCTATTAGAGAATGCAGGAAGATGAATGGTTTGGATCGTTGATATTACGTTCAGAGTTTTACGGTTAGTGAAAACATTGCTTGATGTTTAAAAAGTTTCTACAAACTATATGACATCGACTCATATTTCAGTTAACCGTAAATATCGACATGTGATATCAACGATTTGAACTGTTCATATTCTTACATCCGCCAGATGATCATGTTTTCAAAAAAGAAAATTTTAAAAATAAAATTCAGTAAGAAGAATAAAGCGTAAATGACAATCGACGGTTAAATATAAATTTAAGGCTTATGGATTATAGTGTTGGATTTCGAAGCCGACACCTTCATGAAAGTTGTAAGCTTGTCAGTATGAGTGATTGTATATTTTTGTTTACATTTTTTACACTTCTACAATAGTTATTATTAATTTTTCCGTCAAATAAAAAACATTATTCATGAGGGTTTGGAGGATTTTAAAAATCTAAACGATAATGTAAGTGTAACCATTATCTACTCGTGGAGGAATAATGATGAATCACGAGTGTTTATATATTTTTTCACATTTTTCATACTTGTATGTATGTCTGCTTAATTCTTGCCTATACAAATACTATACTAGTTTATTTTAATTTTGGACAACATGTTAAGTAAAAATTATCCTAGTAATGATAATAAGGAACTCTCATAATAAAAATAAATAATGACAAAAACTTTTTTTTTAACTCATATAGAATAATAATACAAAACTATATTTAATATATAATATATTGTATATATTAATATGGCTATTGTATTTTAAAATAAATCTTTTAGTAATTAAACTTTAAAATTATCAAAATATTTTTTTTAACGGGTCGAAACGGGTTACCCACGTGTTACCTGCGTGTATACCCGTTAAGAACCTATTATTAACGGGTCACTCGATAATGACCCGATTCGTTATCGTGTTGACTCAAAACCTGTTATTTTCGTGTCGTGTCAGAAACTGCCGGGTCTAGGGCTAAGCCTCACAATAGGCTAGCAATAATGTGGTTCAACTTGTCATTTGGTGAGAATCGAACCTAAGACCTTTCACTTACAAGTAAATAGGAATATACTAAACAGTAGTACTAAGTGGTCGGTCCTTATTCGATTCTTTTGACGCTTAAATTAATCATTTCTAACATAAGCTATTTTGTACTCAGTTTCTGATTGGCTTCATGCCACCACATTTTTTTAGAATTAGCCAATTTTATGATGGATGCTATTACTAATCTTGGCCACTCATCGACGAGGTTTTCTTCTCTCAAGTTGAGAGCTTTTCTCACCCTATGTGAGTGTTTCCAATCTAGTCTTTTAGTTTAGTCGTTGGCCTTAGCTCCGGCCAAGGTCGGTCACAGCCTATTTTCTTATGCTTTTTCTTATGCTTTTTCTTTTGCTTTTCGTAGTTTTCGCTTCTGTTTCCTAGCCCTTGTTCTTCCATTTTAACCATTCCTTTCTCTGATCAAAAAATTTCTTTTTCCGATCTCCCTTCTCTTCTTCCCCCCACTGCCTTTCCCT